TATGGGTATTTGGCCTGTATCGTAAGGCAGATCCGAGAGGACATTGGAAGAAATTGCATCCGAAAGACACCCATCCTTTATAACTTTGAGATGGTCCGCCGCTATACCATCAACATCGTCTTGGAGCGAATGGGAAGCCCTCAGTCGGGAGGCAATTATGTCCGGAGCATTGTCTGGCAGACCCTGACGAGCTAATGGGTCATGTCCACCAAGGTTACTGCCGTTCGAACTGCAAACTACCCTAGTGTCTGGCGGCGTGACCAGGCCCGAGGATGGGCGGATAGTAGTGTCACATCTAGGCTCGTTAAAACGCAGGTCCTTGATTTCTTGAACGGTACTGGGATCGACAGGAAGTTCAATATCAAGGAAATCATGATTGGAAGGCGAAGGCGCGAAAAGAGAATCTACGTTGTTTTGAGTTTTTGTGGAACCTAAGAGAAGGGATGAATCCAGTGGCGTTTTGGGGGTATCTTCTCTGTTATAGCTCATTAACGAGAGCGGCATTCCATGATCAGTCTGTAGAGTTAAATTATTGCGAAATTTTGCTGTTGTATCAACATGGTTCGGGGGGAGGGGCGGAGTCGCAGAAGTGACATCCAGGAAGTTTTGATCAATCATGTATGGTAAATTAAAGAGGGAGGAAGTTGAGGATACATTTTAGAACATGATAAGAACGTTGATTTGGAACTACCAACCGCGAGTTGGGTCTGAAAAAAAAACAATTTCATCTATTATAAACCAAAAATCAAGCGGGCATTATGAAGCAGTGAGTTAACGTTGAAGACCTGGCGTTGTCAAAAGGCAGAAATTGTTTTTACCTCTAACGTGGCGGAAGACGGAAAAATTTATAACGGCTAGGGAAAATTGTGGGTAGGATGAGGCCAGTTAAAACAAGTGTATAGCACGCGGGATGTTTTCAAGAGAATATTTCCTACCAGGAACAGAAAGTCATAGACACTAAAATAACATGAACGCTTGCCAGACTTAAGAACTTAAAATTAGGGAATCCATTACAGGTCAACGAAAAGGCAACGGCACATGCACTTACGTCTGGATCAGCAGAGCTGTTCAATATGTATGCAATAAGTACATGATATAAAAACAGTTTGTTCAGAGGAGAAGAATCAAAGTGATATTAGCTGCGAATAAAACTGTGACCGTTCGCCGGGTTATGAACTAGCATTTTCTATTAAAGATCAAGTTTCATGAAACATTTAGGTAAGCTATAAATAAATATAAGCGTGTTCAAATTTGTACACACAATTTGTGAATACACATGTGAGTGCGGTCGTGATGGTTTTGGAGTAAATTGACAAGTTGGGTGATGCGCACGATAACGCACGTTTAAGCGAAAAATAAAGAATCGAAATATTCCACAGAACTCGAAAAGTTCAAGAAATTACCATCTAATGTATCGTGGGCCACAGCCAAAAAACGCCCATCGGTATTTCATAAAATGAGCCAATTTACCAAAACCAGCTGTTTAAACGAAGTGAAGAATCATGTTGCAAGATGTAAGATAATGAATGTCGGGGACTACTCTCCGAGTATAAACAACTCAAATGTTCAGATTATTCACTAACACTAACAAGCCAACGATTTGTAAGAATTTGAATGCTAAATTTGCTCCGCCGATTTCCCTTTACTGATCCCTGTGGGCTCTTGGCTCAACTTGTGCACACTTTATAGTTATTTTATTTCATGTTTTGCTAGTATTGTACTTTAGAAGTCAGGTT